CCCCCCCCCGCCCTTCCTCCTTCGTTACGCGAACGCGACCGCGTTAACGAAAACGATCGCGAAACCAGCGAAAATCGACTTGGAACAGCCGGACGCCCACCCACAAGCGCGAGAATCTCGTCCGGTTCGTTTCCGATGATTGTCGATGATCGTGTCGATGGACGACGAATATCTCGTCCCTCGCCTGTCGATTTCGTTTCTCCAACGAAAAGGGAGCTCGCTCGCTTCCGTTCGAAGATTGTTCGTTGCTCTTTGTTAGAAGTTAGCACGGCTATCGAGAGTGTTTGCCGATTCGCTGATTTCTGCACGCTGACGTAGAAATAATTATGGTGGATGTTGCGCGCTAGAGAATTATCGAGAAGAAGTCAGTGGTTATTATCTTTATTTATCAGCTATATATACATGTATACGTGTCAGCTATATATATATATATATATGTACGTATATATGTATATCGAGCGCAAAGTTGGATATTTAACAGAGAAAAGAAAAAGAAAGAAAGTTAATCGGTTCAATTCTCGGTGCTGTTTTCAGCGGTGTGCATTAAACAGGCAATCGACGAAACGTGGTGCAAAGAACATGAACACCGGAGGGTCGCGTACTAAACGACCGCCGGTGATTCTACTCGTTCCTCGTGTTGATTTCTCTTTATTATTATTTAGCGGATGGTATTGACAGTATTAAAAGAGTTACAAAGAGTTTTAGGTAACCCTGTCGTGGTTGTTCCGACGAAATACATACATATACATACTACACACGCGACATACAAATATTCTACACACACACACACACACACACACACAACACACACACACACACACACACAACACACAATACGCATAGATATCTAGATAAATAGATAAATGAATAAAAAAAATATATGTGTAAAACACACGCAGGCATACACGACGCAATAGTACGCGTATAGTAAACGAGAGAAAGCTATATAATAATATGATAAATAAATATATATATATATACATACAATACATATATATTTATAGATGTATGTACACGGATTAACTGCGAAAGATACAACACAACGTGGATGCGTAATTGGCAAGCACGTTTTTACGAAGTACAAGACGTTAATAGGATTTTATTAGTACCGACCGGATGTGACGCGCGTGTGTTCCAGCGCGTATAGGTGAGAATAGAGTGCGTGTGTAGATGCGTGTGTAGATGCGTGTGTTGCGTAGCCGCGTGCGTGAAAACGTAACGTGACGAAGAAAAGAAAAAGGAAAAAAAAAAAAAAAAAGGAGAAATCAGCGGAACGATGCTGCGTGTATTGCTCGATGAGAAAGATTGATTTAATTAATTAATTAATTAATTAATTAAACAGGGTTTAAGGGAGAGACAGGAGTGAGAACAAGGGCGTCGCATGTACAATAATAATTATTTAGGTATCTATTCTATATACGTATATATTATTATATATATACATACCGATACACAGATACACGTGTGAAAACCTGTAAAACGATTAGCGCGACTAATTAATGGTCTTTCTTCCTTTCTTTTTTCTTTTTTTTTTCTTTTTCCTTTTTTTTTTTTCTTTTTTTTTATGTTTCGTTTTTCCGGACTAAAGTTCCTTGGGGGTAACGCGTTTGGTACGTGTCTCGAACCGAAGCCACCCCGATGTGATGACGGTGCTTTGTTTCTCTTTGGATTAGAACTATATTAATATTAATTTTTATCATCATCCTTGAGCGGTTATAGTTATGTTACTTAGGATTTATTTTGTTATTCTAACTATATTATTATTATTATTATTATTATTATTATTATTATTATTATTATTATTATATTATTATTATTACAATGTTATATTCGTGAAACATCGGAAGAGAAGAAAGCCTCTCTCGCTATGTACAATGAATGGTAAATTAAATATTTCCAACTGAATCAGTACAAAGCCAAAATCAATCGTCTTGGTT